CACTGTTTCTGGAAAACGGGGACGAATCGAAGGTATGCCAACCTATGAGATGGTCTGATGAATTGCAAGCTGGCCCTTGAACTACTGAAGAAGAAGATGATGATGATGATGTTTCATCAGCCCCACCTGAATGAGCCAGAATCCCAACAGAAAGCGCACCAATCCATTTAACCTTTTGAATTTCATCAAAAACCTCCAAACTGTGCATGTTGCTATCATCCATGAACATAATCAATCCATCCAGTTTCTCATCTCTAACATATCTGCTCAATCAACATTCATCCAATTCATGAATGAATCAACATAATCAATCCATCCAGTTTATAGAGCTATACACAGTGTGCTTAAAAATCAACAGATTCAATTTCACATACCTTAAAGCCCTAAGTCGCATTTTGGTCTCCAGATCGTGGCGACCTTCCCACATGATAGGCATTCGGTTACGAATTCCTAAGTGGATGGTTCTGAGTCCTGATTTGAAAATCAAAGAGGCGGTCTCGTTGGTGGTTCCGCCAGCTTCAACCACCATCCAGATGACTTCATAGGGCACGTTCATTAGGGAATGCATAACTCCGGTGAGGTGCAGAGTCTGGAAGGTGCGGACATAGGTAGGAGTGATTGCAATTAGAGTCTTAGGATTTTTGACTCCATACTGAATCCTCTGCTCCTTCTGAACAATCTCGATTATCCTATGAGCCTTCATCACCTCTGTGGCGTTTGGATGAGGCCACGGCCGTATCAGTATCCCGTGACGGCCGACCACCACCCTGCTATTGGAAGACGCCGGAGATCCGCGAGCCTCCACGGTTGTGAGGTCGGCGGCATTGAACTGCGCTGCGTAGAGGCTGTAAGTCGGCGTGGTGGGAGAGGAGTTGGAGAAGACAAGGAAGAGCGCCAGGCGGGAGAATCTGAATCCGAGAAGCAGACTGACGAGGCAGCAGATAGCGTGGAGGAGGAGCCAGAAAAGGGACGCCGGCGACTTCATTGAGCCGTCAGACGACAAATCCAAAGACGATCCTCGGAAGCTGTTGCTCCGGCGGCCCTGCTGCTGCAACCCCGTCAGCTTCATCATTTTCACCACTCTCTCAAGTCAAAGAGAGAGAATGAAGAGCGACGAAATCGGAATCTGGAGAGTTGAATTAGAAAGAAGAACTGTAACCGGATGGGGAGAGTAGCTTTGAAGAGTGGGAATGTTTGGTGGGGATATGTTAATCTGTAAAATCACAAACCATTTCTTCAATCTCACGAATCAATCAAAAACCATTTCACTTTCGCTTTGCTTGATCAGTTCGGAGACGACGTGATCCGACACCCGAATTCGGTTCGACAGTGACCCGGATTTGACGGGTTATCGGACATGGGAGGCCAAAGGTCAGAACCAGAAGAATCTGGTAGAGAGGATGACGATGGGGAGGCTAATCTGATACGCTTTGCCCGAAACATTTTTGTTTTGACGGGTTTTGGTAAGTGGTGACACGTTTGGTAATAACACTTAATGCGGTGCAATTAAGGAATGTGATCGAAGGGCTAACCAAATTCTTCCAATATTATTGTACAACATAAATACCAATCTTTAATACTCCACTCCATCCAAAGGACCACAATTCTATGATTGGAAAAATTCATTGCATGTGTCTCATACTCTCATCAACAAGTCTCATGTATATTTATGTTGGCAAAAAAAATAAAGAATTCCATTCCTTCTTCTCACTTCAAGACATAATATGAAACTAATTTTAATTGAAGTACCTACAGTATTTCATTTATAGAATTAATGTTTCTATTTCCTCTGACATCCACAATAACACTCATTCTGTTTTGACCCGAACTAAATCCAACGCTCACTTCAATTGTACCTCTCAAATTTAGTTAGATTTGAGTTCAAATTTTAAAATTGTAAGTAAATTTTAGGGTGCAACTAAAATTGATATGATGGTAGGTTTGGGTGGGGACGGATTGAAGTGTTATCAAAGTATTAAGTGTTAGTCTTACTCTATTAAATCTTGTGTTTTGATGTTAACAAATAATATATGAACTAATGTATGTTTGAGTGTTCTCGATCAACAATGAAGTTGGAACACCAAATGAGTGTATAATACTAATAGAATTCGATTGACAAATATAATTTTATATGCTTATATTCACAATCTGAAATAGACTCACAAAATGTATTAAAAACCTTCTTATAACCATTCTTCAAAAATCTAAAAATTTTAAACAAAATTGGAAAGGATTATGGCCAAAAGTGGAAAAACCAAAACAGCGGTTCGAGACCCCTTACTGTCAGCCCGAGACCCCCTATTCAATATGTACCACAAGACACTTACCGTCAGAAAACATTTGTTATAGATTTTACCTAGGTATCGTGTCCACGAGACCTAGATACGATTTGGACAAGACCCTCCAATCGTTAGGACGGTACCTACCTGCCTCTTCAACGATCAAATTATTCAAAATCCTGTTTTTGATTTTAATCAAAATTAATGAGTCAAAATCCTTCCAAATCAACTTCAAACGATCATCAACAGACATATTTGATATTCAACTATAACTATGATCATAACCCTTCATTTTTTTCATAAACCCAAAGTTGCAAATTCTATAAGTCATTTTTCAAGTGTGTTCAAATGCTTGTTCTTCATTCTTTTTATTTAATTTAGGCTTCTAAGATCTTGCTTTTCTCATAATCTTACACACACATTGAGCTTGTGAATACATTATATGCCTTCATATTTATATATTTATTAGATTGATCTTGTATTGTTTTACTGAGCATACTCTGAGTTCTTCACTAGCCAATGATTGATCTTTTTCTTTATCATAGGCCAAAAGGTGTTAAACATTTTTTTTGTATCTTTTAGACACATCTTCATCCATTGTAACAATCGAGGACAACCGTATAAATCCTTGTATATATGACTAAAGAGAGTCGAGAAATCTTTTGGTCAAAGATTCGAAGATAAATTTCAAATCCTTGGGGTGAAAAGGTATAAGATGGCTTGCAAATTTTCGTTGTGAGTGGTTCGAGATAGCCATTGTAAAAGCTCGGGATGAATCCTTTTGGCAAGGTCTGTTTTTCCAAAGTAGTGTGGTGCTTTAACTGAGTTCATAAGACCAGGAGCTAGTGAATTCAAAAATTTGACCTTAATAAGGGGTCTTAAGGTATTGAGGTAGAGATTTCACAAAACTATATAAAATTGGTGCGTCATTTGTTTTACGTATTTAATTATGTGTTTTATTTATTGTTTCCGCATTTACCAAGATCAATTTATTAAATGTTGAAAAATTTTTAAACGTCTTCTTCACCTTCTCTAGAGTTTGGCCAGAGCGGTGATGGTTATGCGGGAACTTTGGACACAAAGAAACCAACTAGTCTGGCATAATAAGTCCATACGATATGATGCACATTGTTGGCGGCAAAGATTGATCAATGGTTTACGGAATGAAAAGTAGCACAAGCTAGCTAAAGGGTATGGCAACATTCAACAAACAACAACATCTCATGCTAGATGGCGACCAACGTCAATGCAGGCTCTGATCTGATCCACAGACAGACAAAGACGGCACAAGTGGGAATAGTACGTATTAGGATTGGCAAGGGGGCTTTCATACAGGGCTGCACAAACCTTTATTACGAAGAATGCATTGATGGCAGAGGCCATGGGTGTCTATGCACAACAAGTCAATGAATTCAAATTGGCAAATTTCCCTTTTAACATGGAATCAAAGATCCTAACTCACATTTAGTTTTCATACAAAGTTATACAGATTGAGAGAATGAAAGAAGAAAAAAAGAAGACGATCATGGCCGGATTTGCAGCACTGGATCGTGATGGGCCGATCTATGTTGAGTTATGGCCGCGACAGAATTCAAAGGAGTCGGGATCCATCTTCTCCAACACAAAATGCCCAATCATCATCCCCTCCGACCACTTCACCAGATTCTCCCTGCACAGGAACTCCTCACTCACCATCATCTCCACTCTCCGGTTGTAATCGTGCACCAGCACGTGCGTCTTCGGCTTCCCCCCTTTCTTGCTCCGGGCCAGCACCCCGGCGGTGAAGATCGCCGACATCCTCCCCGGCGCCTCCGGCCAAAACCCCCGCGGCCCGTCCACCAGGATCACATCCCAATCCACCTCGTACAGGCTGTTGGGAAGATCGTTGAGCCCCAGCTTGCACTCCGAGAAGAGAAGATTCTGCACCGGCCGGCACTCGTTCCGGGACTGCCGTCTGACGGCGGACATCAGCCCGTCGATTTCGCTCAGTCTTGTCGTGTACTGGACGTCGTAGACCTCGATGTCCGGGTACTTCTCCTCGAAGTAGGCGGCGTAGTACCGGTTCTCGTCGACGAACACCGTTCTGCCGTTGCTGTTGAGGGCTTGCCAGAGGAGGGTCTCGTGGGTGAGGCCGAAGACGAGGAGGTTGCAGGGCGGCGGCGAGCACTGCCGGAGCACGTCGGAGACCCGCTTGATGTCCCCGTACGGCATCCGGTCTGTGCCGTTGGACTCGGAGGCGTAGTGGACGAGTGCCCTCGCCACCCATTTCGGAAGGGCGGCCGCCGGAGGCGTGACGGCGGGGACAGGGGCTGTTTGGGTGTGGGATCTGGCGTAGAAGAAGGTGAGAGTGAATGCGAGGGCGAATAAGGAAGCAAGAGAAACGAGGAGCCAAGAATGCCAAACGCGGCCCTGTTTCTGAATGTGATGAGGGTGAACGAGTATGAATTTGGTGTGGGTGCTCTGGAGATTATTATTGTTGTTGATCTTCGCCATCGTCTTCTTAATTAGCTTAATTCTTCAATTCACACAAGTTAATTATAAGACTGGTTTGGTGGGGATTTGGATTTTGAGGTTGATGAAGCAGAGCAGAGTGGTTGGAGAAGAAGAAGATGAAGATGGTGAAGAATTGAAACTTGGTTTGTGGCGACACTTTAACTAATTACCAGTGGGGAGTCGCTTTTTCGTGTTCCTCCCTCCCTCTCTAAAGCATTGCATGGTGAGTCAACTACTCCCTCCATTTCCATTTTTACCCTCAATCTTTTTAAACTTTAACGACATACTACAGAAAAATACATTAAATTTTATATAAATTTAGGCAGCATAAACATTTTGTATCTAGTATAAATATAGGATATCCTATATTAATGTACCTCTAGGTTAATTCATATATTTTAGGTCCAACACCCTCTTTCTATACCCCATCTCTTGAGTGTTGCCTCCCGCTTTTGGGGAGTAGAAAGCCATGCTTGAAAGTCGTGGTTCTTAAAAACATCAATATATCCACCGAAGTCCTTGAATGCATTTTGGTATCATGCCCATGCCTTGAGAACTTGTAAATTTGCAAGCTTTATGTTTTTCTAGCAATATAGCAACTGGTAGTAATCGGATGTCGAAAATTAAAAAATATTGAGATTTTAGCCTCAAGACTGACGACATTTACATACCAGTCGATGCAGGTATAGCATATGCCCTCGATTCTCTTTCAGAATATTTTTCATATTTGAAGTATATATCTAAGTGAGTGTGATGACTAATCTACGTATGGAGGTTAGTGTGTTGAACTTTGTTTTGATCTTTCCCAATATTTTTGTTTATTCATAAATAAATGCCTACGTCTTTTGTGCAGATGAATATGAGTATACATCTCCTTCCAAACTTGACAAACCTCAAACATTTAACATTTGCTATCTTTGCTAAGTGTAGATAATCCATCCTTGGATGGTCTACCTTGATCGGGGCTTCCCGGTATTGCAAAAGTTGACATTAAAGGTAAACCGGCCAACCCTGCTTATGCGCATACATACATGCATACATGTTGGAAAAGATTCAAGTAAGGGTGTAAAGAAATGACATGTTGCTTACAAATCATGAATAACACTTTCATGTTAAAGTTAAGATTAAAGATATTTGAGTGATATTTCAAAATACTTTAATAAGATATGAGAAGTGTTTTAGAATGGATATGTGATCTTCTCTATTTGAAAAGTACAAGTACACTCTTATTATATATATATAGAGAATAAAATGACAAGACACTTGTTTACATGAATCAACGCATGCATTTTTGTGTTTCTGCATAAAAAAACATAGCATACACCCATACTTCAGAGTGACTTGTCGAGTTGATTAGGTGCATGTTCTCGCAATGGATACTCGACTTGCCGCCTTTGCTGGAGTAGGGGCATGCAAAGTCTGTGTACACACACCCTCAGCTCCCCAGATCGTACTTACATGGGATTCAAGTTGGTTGTTGTGTACGTATAGAGGTATCAAACTTCTTAGTCACAACATGGAGGTTTGGGAGCAATAGTACTTGAGGCTAGGCTGCGAAAGGCGGTGTGTACACCATTAAAGTGGAGTCTTTCAATTTTTCTGATTTAGCTCCAACTTTCCATTCTATTGAAGTGGAGTCTTTCAAATAATCTATTGATGTTGAACTTGCCAATTATGTTTTTCAAAATGCTGTTGTGCTTGAATAGGTCATAATTGACTTCAAGAATTACAATTTACAAAGAGACCTCCTCCTATTGCCAATGGGTTGCCACATCCTTCAATGAAGCAGGCTGAGGCACTCACAACCTCCTGGCGCAGAGCTCATTATCAAATAGTCTTCAACTGCCCCGCGCTATTACTGAATATCCCGATGTGCAGGGCAGTAAAACACTAGTTGGTAGCACAAAATATGTTTTCTCTCGATGCGCAGGGCAGTAATTACACCCTCCCTTCTACGGTAATTTTTATTATAATTTGTTTTCTCTCATTTCTCGATAACTTTTGTTTATTTATGTGTTTTTATTGATTATTTAATAAAATAAAATACTCCGTATTTTTGTCAATTCTTGTTTTGTAGAATTTTTTATGTAATTTTTTAATATGGAGTAGTTTTTATCTTTTATTGATGTACCTATTTGTAATAAAATGTTTTCAAAGTTTATGAGGTTTTACCTCGTAATTCTTAGATTGTAATCAAAATTGGATGGAGAGAGTGTTCTCAAAACTGAAAACTACAACGACTAATTTGACTAAACCAAACTTACAGACACTAAATTAACTTATACATGAACTAAGATTAACTCATTATTAAATGTGAGATTTGATACATACAAAGACTATATGTTGTGCCGCTTAGTAATCGGACATCCATGTTATCATATATCGAATCCAGCCACTAATCTTTTACAGTTTTACCCCTCTCGGTTAACAGAAGAAAAAGAAACAATTCTAAGGATATACGTCAACGGACCGCATAGAGATGGGGTGGGGTACTTAAATCAGAAATTTACTTAAATATGACTAAAACATAATAACTTTCCCAATATAGGATCATATGTTTTTATTTCCCAATGTAGGACTTTTGGTCATTATCAAGTAGTCATTATTCAACTAAATGTCCATCATTACTGGACATTATTCCTTCCACTAGGTCATTATTAAGTCTTATTTAGAGAATAAAAAAGTTTAAGTCTTACATTAGAAAAGTCATTATGTTTTAGTACTATTTAGTGCAAATTTCACTACTTAAATAGTTAAATGAACATGGCTACTCTCTCTCTTAAATCACAGATTTCCTCTATCCCAAAATTTTTGCCACATTTTTATTTTCAACAGTTACGAAAATTTTTGCTTATTTGTATTTTTTATTAGTTATTTGATACTCAATCTGTTTTAAAATATTCTTCCTGTTTCTATTTACGAGTTTTGACTGACTTTATTTAATTCAAATTATTTGATTGTAGGTGTAAAATAAAAAAATAAAGTTATATATTTAAAAGGGAAATTACGTAAATAGCACTAAAACATAATGACTTTTCCTAAATAACATCACATGAGTTTTCTTTTCAATCTAGCACTTTTAGTCATTTTTCATTAGTCATTATTCAAGTGTATATTGGTTATCACTGGACATTATGAACATTATGAAGTGATATTTAGAAAATAAAACAATTTAAGTGTTATTTAGTACAAATATTTCTATTTAAAAAGTACATCAAAAGTTTTACAAAATAAGAGTAGACAATAATATATTATTTTATCAAATAACTAACAAAAATAGACTAAGAAAGTGATTAAAGTTTGGCTGTGTGAATTGTAATGGGAGAAAGATCAAAGTAGGACTAAAACATTGAAAATTTACCAAAATAGGACTTCCATGTTTTTATTCCTGAAATAGGACTTACATTACCAAACATGGTCATATACATTACAAAAAAAGTATAGTAATGTGCACATGTACACTAGCACATCACCACAGTGCAAATTCACATTACCACAGTGCAAAGTCTTATTTCGGAAAAAAAACATGTAAGTCATATTTTGAGACTTTTCTCTATGTTTTAGTCCTATTTGGGGTGATTTCTAAATTGTAATTGGTAAAAACATTTTAAAAAAGATGAAGTTAAATAAAATATTCTTGACACCTCTTATTTTGAAAAACTTTTTATGTATTTTTTAAACATGTAAATGTTATTTTTTATTTATATACTACGGAGTAATATTTAAATAAAATAAATGGCAAAAACATGATCTTTTGCCTTGTTTATAAAAATGTGAAACATTTATGCTATGTTTGGTTCAAAGATTTTGAAAGGAAAAGAAAAGAGTATGATTTTCTTTCATTTTTCTCATCTAAATCAGAGAAATTTTGTTTTTCCTCTTATTATATTTTGTTTTCTTATTTTCTTTTTGTTTTACTTTTCTTTTTTTTTTCTATCTAACCCAATATAAAAATTTATTTTCCTTCTCAATTTTTTTTCTTTTTCCTTTCAAATTTCTTGATCCAAACATAAGGTTAGGGGAAGGAATTACTCCCTCCGTCCACAAATAAACTTTACGTTCACTATTCACAAGGTCAAACTTTATTCACTTTATTGGTCTATTTTCGTTACTCATTTGATAAAATAATATAGTCATGTCACCTCTAGTTTTGTAGATCTTTTGATATAATTTTTTAGTATGTGATTTTTATTTTTAAATTTAACATCATTTTTCATATAAAATGATTTAAAAATAACTTCAGTCAAACATCGTAACGCGTAACGTAAAGTTTATTTGTGGACGGAGGGAGTATATTTCTTGGGACATTATGATGATGGTGGCGTAGGAATCTCCGCCGACAACAAAAAAAGGTCCAACCAACGGTGAGGGCACTTCCGTGATTTTTGATAACATCCAAATAATCCATGTTCACTCACACCTGTCCCCACCCCTCTCTGAACTGCCGACTACCGACCATCCACCTGCCCACGTGGCACCCCTATTCATTTTAATTTCCACCAAAGATTAATGTACTACTACTTTCTACTTTTTCCTCTTCTCAAAATAATTTTCAATTTTCCCCTAAATAAAGATACGTGCACATATACTCTTTCCATCTCAAAAAGTCTTTCCTATTTCATTTTTTGCACATCCTATAAAACATTTCTACCGACATCTAAAATGCCTAAAATTTACAACATATCTTCTTTATTGTGGATAGAAGTTATTTTAAAACTTTTTTGGTATTCAAGGCGGGATAAAAGTATTTTATGGGATACGCAAAATATGAAACATGAAAGACTTTTTTGGACGGAGGGAGTACTTTTTTGTAATATACTCCCTCCGTCCCGGAGTATTCGTCCAGTTTTGACTTTTGGAACTGTTCATCTAAGCACTTTGACTCATTAAATTCTCTCAATGTGTAAGCCTAAATATAGTCATGTGTGATCTTGTTTGATTTGTCTTAACATATAGATTATTAATATATAATTTCTATAATTTTTTAATATACAAATTACAAGATAAAATGGATTAAAGAAATGCATTGGATGGTGTGTAAAAATGAAAGTGAACAACTACTTCGGGACGGAGGTAGTAATTATTAATGTTCAAAAAAATAAAGAAAAAAAGAAATGAATTATTTTTTTTTCTTAAAAATCTTTTCTGTTTTAATTTCTTTTGTCAAACCATGATACTTTTTTTACCATAAATTATGTGAAAAGAATATTTTGTTACAATATAAATTCAAGAGTTTAATATTTTATATGAAGAATTAAGAAGAGTTTAATAAACAAATTGTAGAAAGGAGGAAAATATAGTGCTTTCGGGGTCAGCCTTCCATCAACTGGCAAACTGCCTTTCCCAATTCAAACAAAAAGGAGAAATTAAGCTAGTCGTATATTGTGTATGTACTCCCTTAGAGCGGGATTAGAAAAAAAGAGTTGGATGTTGAAAAAAAAAACTGGAAATAATAGTATTTCTTCTTCTTTCTTTCTTCTTTTTACATTTTTTTTCTTTCGTTTGTGTGTGTTTCTTCTATTCTTATTCTCCCTTCAGAATGTTTGCAATGGGGCGCCCTCTCGCCACGTCGATCTCATTGTCTGCTACATATTCATTCTCATCTTTTCCAGTCCTACTTAAAACACTTGCAATGTTTTCGCTTTTCGCCCCACATCTCCGTTTCTTATACATTATTCAACATTTTTAAAACAAAAATGCTAACAAAGACACACTTTATTAAAAAAATACACCAAAATAAAAAAGAGATACACCAAATAAAATTAAAATTTTAAAAAATTAGTGCTATAATTAACTACCGGTGAATTTATTGAGTTGAAATTAGTACTATATTCATCTCACTATTGATTCTAAAATCTCATCAATTTTAAAATTACTTTATGTACGAATAAAGTTCAACTCCCTCCGTCCCTAAATAAATTTCTTCTTTCGTTTTTCTTTGTCCCCAAATAAACTTCTCTTTATTCTTAAAAACTCCTTTTACCCCTTATTTTTTTCATACCCTACCTATCACATCATACTTTTTTACTAATAATCTACCTGTCACATCTTACTTTTACACATTACACCAAGTGTATTTTTGAAAAGTCAACACAAAAATATCTCTTCTCTAAATCCTCAAAAAGTCAAAAAAGGAAATTTATTTAGGGATTTTTTTTGTAGGCCTGTATGACAATATATGAACTTTAGGCTCACAACAACATTTACAAAAAAAAAAACTGGTTTGAATTTGGTATATCCAAAGGTTCCCAAAACTCCTCCAAATTAAAATTTCCAATATAAATAATGACATCCTCCCACCATAGTGGATTGAATAGTTAAAATAAGACTAATACCGAGTAAAGAAAAAAGGTTTTAAGAGAGAATGCGCTCTGTATATTATAAGCCATCTCTTTTCAAATTTATGGCTATAATAAATCTCTCCCCATCTCTCTATCTCTTCAGATTTTGATCATCTTCGACCTTCAATCCCCTCTCTCTCTCTCTCCCTCTGCAATTTCTGGGTTTATATATATATATATCTATGGTGATGGAGGAGATCCAAGATGTTAGCGGCGGGAAGAGGAAGCCCAAACCGTACAAAGGAATCAGGATGAGGAAGTGGGGGAAGTGGGTCGCCGAAATCAGAGAACCCAACAAGCGATCCCGCCTGTGGTTAGGATCCTATTCGACGCCGCTTGCGGCGGCGAGGGCCTACGACATCGCCGTCTTCTACCTCCGGGGTCCCAACGCGCGGCTGAACTTCCCGGACCTGCTGGCCACCGAAGGCGGCGGCGCCCTCAGCGATTTGTCCACCGCCTCTATACGGAAGAAAGCGATCGAAGTCGGGTCCAGGGTGGACGCCACCCACAGCTCCGAACGCCGCGGCGGGAGAGAAGATTCGCCGGCCGGTAAGGTAAGCCCGCCCCGGTTGAAGGAGAAAGCTTGCTGGTTCGAGGAGAAGCCCGACTTGAACGAGATGCCCGAACCGGAAGACCCGGATGTTGGTTATTGGTGAGTGCGTCGGCGGTTGACTAGGCCAATATGCAATTTAGAATAAGATAAGGGGTGCGCTGGTAAAATTTGCGAGTTAAAAAAAGGAGGTTTGGAGTGACTAGGATTTGATTTCATATTCACCCTTTGGAAAAGTCTCAATTATTAACCATGTAGTAAAATGTGACAGACATTTGGTACACCCTATTCCACTCCCAAAAAATTCAACCAATCCTTTTTCTACCAATTTTTTAAATTCAAGATTCAATTTTTAGATTCTGGATGAAAGATATGTGGTTTGGAGGATAGCGGTGTATAATTTGTGGTATAATTTGATGTTTCCTAAGAATTACTAAAAAAAGTTCTTCATTTGCTCCGACATACTTGTCCTACCCAAGTGAATCGGATCTCGAAACAAATTATTCTCAGAACCGATTTACCGGGCTCATTATTTTTATCATGTCTAATTATTAGTTTTGACACTAAAAGTTCAATATTAATTGTTTTGTAGATAAGTTAATATTATCTACTTTGTATCCAATAAAATATTAGGTATCAAACTCTTGGTGACAAATTTAGTATGATTTTAGGGTCAACGGAGTAAGAATTGAGTTTTATTCATAACAACTGCGTTAGAAGACGATTATATTAAACATAAAGCCTCTATAACAAGATTTACTTTTTAAAGTTTTTGTCACTAATCAACAATTAAAATTTAAGTTATTTTTTTATGATAGATTGTTTGATGGGGTTTGAGGAAACACTAAGAGATAAACACATCCTTATTTGGAAGAACAAAAAGAGCGTGTGCAGTAAAACAAATGACACCTAGGAATAAAAGGGTGTGTGCAGTAAAAATGGTCCAGGTAAATCGAAAGGTAGAAGATAGATGCCAATTCTTTCAGACCAGACGTGACCATTTATACTCCCGTATGAAACAGAAATATTCCAATGTGACACAAAGTGTTACTCTCAACTGTTGACACAAAATCTTACTCTTAAATAGTCAAACTTCATTTTTTTCTTATTTTCGTTATTCATGACTGAAAAAATAATATAGTCGTGTCACTACTAATTTTATAAATCTTTTTATTTAATTTTTAAATAAGGAAAAGACTAAAGTAGTAGTAAATTATTGATAATATACCAAAATAGGAGTTTTATGTTTTTATTCTCAAAATAGAAGTTAAAATGAATTTACAACTAGATTCTAGTGACAATATGTGTCATTAGCATAACGAGCTATTCTTTCGTGATCTTAAGATCACATATAAATTGTAGACTTTCTCCCACTTTTCATGGGCTGGTAAGAAAAAACTTATTTTCTTCAAAACACTCAATTCTTTTATGATATCAATATATTAAAATCCATAAAACGAGTATGAACCTTAGAAAACTCACTTTTATTACACTTCAAATTAAAACAATACTACCTCGGTTCTAAATAAGACATAACTTTGTTTACTTTGATAATATGCACCAAAATAAAAAAATGAAATTTATATATTCAAATTTATATATAGATAAGAATGGGGTACAAGTTTGTGATGTACTCCCTCCGTCCCAAATTATTTGCCACATTTGCTTTTGAACAGTTGCGGGAAGTTTTGTTTATTTTTACGTTTTCATTAGTTATTTGATAAAATAAAATATTCTTGACACCTCTTATTTCGAAGAACTTTTCATGTAGTTTTTTGATATGTAATTTTTATTTTTTATTTCTTTACCAATATGTAAATAAAATGAATTGAAAAAACTTGATATTTTGTCTCGGTAATAAAAATGTGACAAATAATTTGGGACGGAGGGAGTAGTAAGTACAACTTGGTGTAAACTGAATGCCAAACATTTACCAAACTGAATGCCGACATTTTGGTACGGATCCCAAGTACTTATCCAACTCCTTAATTTGGAGTAGTGTAAATAAATATCCATAAAATGGACCATAACATTTGAAGACCACCGTTGCATGTTTTTTAAAATGGTCATAATTATAATTATGGCTTTAACTGTAACCGCCCAAAGGGTGCTAATAATGCAGCATGTAGTACTATTTTTCTTCTCGTGGAGTTGAACACAAAGATTACAAAATCTTTGACTACCGGCNCCCCCACACACCAAATCAAAGTACGGTTTGGGCCGGGCTAAAATGCTACATTATAGAAAAAATTTAGGTCGGAGTCCAATGTCGGAGGATGAGTAGATGGGAGCAATTGACGGCGGCGGAGGATGAAGAAGATGATGCTTGACAACCTTAAGGAAGATGAAGATGAAGATGAATTGAAAGAGATCGAAGAGACTTGAAGTGCTGGAAGAAGATAAATCAAATTTGAAGTCATCAATAGAAGTTTTATTCCATTTAATTTATAAGACAATTGAGGTAAAAAATTTTTAAAAAAATAGAATTTACATGTTTTAAAATTATATAAAAACTCTACAAAGTGACAGGTTTCATTATTTTACCAAATGACTAAAAAAATAGATAAAGAAAATAAATAAAATTTGACTATGTGAATAAAATAATGTACGAGCTACGGAGTATTTACTTTGCGATATAGGGGGTAGATTTTAGCCTGGGACAAGTGGAGTTTTTATTTCCAAAAGTTTTTAAATACTGTACTCCTAGTAATATATATACAGGGCAAGTGATTTTAAACTTAATTGAAGAATAATATACTCCGTAATTTACTTGTTCCATCCAAAAAAGAAAAAAAAATGTCATGGAGAAACTATTGTGATTCTTGTTTTATCAACAGATTTTTTTGGCAGAAACCCATCACTGCATACCCAAAAAACATACTCTCTGTACCAATTTATATTACCTGTTATGGTTTACGATGTTTGACTGAAATTAATTTCAAACCATTTTATATGAGAAATGGTGTAGAATTAAAAAATAAAAATTAACACATTAAAATACTACATCAAAAACTCTACAAAACTAGTGGTGACGTAACTATTTTATTTTATCGAATGACTACCTAAAGAAGAGATAGAAAGTGAATGAAGTTTGACCTTACGAATTGTAAACAAGCAAATTTAGTTTGAGACTGAGGGAGTAACTAGTAAGAACGTACAGAGTACCATTTTCACTCTATTTATAGAAGTGATGATTGATTTCTATACCTATAACCTATTAGTGTTAACGCTAGTTGGAAGGTAATAAGCATAAGGATTAAACTATTTGTACCCTAAGATTTGTACCCCAATTTGTCCACCACATATGTGCACCTTCGTTTTGTGTCAGTGTAATGCTAGGGTGATAGTTCACACAAGCACAAAATGTTAGAACAAATTTTTGTTATTGCACCAGCATTTTGTGTCAGTGTGAATCATCAAAATGTTATTGTATACCTTTAGTGTAACTTTGGGATACACTTTTTGGTGTGAGTGTAGCATGGTGGTAAGCATAATGAAGTGAGATCCATGTGACCAATCTCAGAGAATTACGACAAGACTCGAAATAAACTCGAATAATTTTGAAACAAATCTAGGAAAAAACAGGCTCAACTAGATAATCAACCAGCCAAACCCAATCAATCCTAGCATTTGAGCTAAATCACAGATAATATTGTTATTATAAACACAATTTCAGCGAGGTCCCTACATATAAGCTAATCCGCATGACTTTGCAGTTATAATTTAGAAATGTAGGGTTCATGCTTTGATGTATCACTGTACTTACAGGCTTTGGAAGCTGAATTTTCTTGCATGATTTTAGATCTGCATTTCCGTTGACCGTTTTATTTTAAGAGCAGCTCGTACGACATTTCCTCTGGTGAGAATTCCAACCTTCACAGTATAATAGCGTTATAGATCTCAATCAGATGGTGTTGAGGATGAGAAAAACAAGTAAAATGATGCAAAGAGGCAGGATGACCTTACCAGCTTACCGTCAGAATCTACAACAGGAAGTCTGCGATATTTTGTTTTCAACAGTAACCTGAAAAATGAACATAAGTTACAAATATGTTGAAGATATTGGGAGACTTTGCAAGGAAGAAAGTTTTTGTTTCTTCCTTTGTGGAAAAAAAAATGATTGTTCAAGTAAAAAGGAAACGTGGGTAGTGTTTGCAAATATGAGTGCAAGTTCCAAATGTGAGCGTCTATGAACCAAAAAAATGCTGAAGTGCTTAGCTTGTGAGTAAAAGACACAATTATCGCTGAACAGTAAAGTGCAAATAAATATAGAATAGTTATACAAAACTGTCCAAAAATAATTTCATCATAATCACAAAAAGTGTTATCCACTGTAATAACTTATAACTACGGAGTAATAAGTTAAGCAAAAAAATGATTTCCTTTGGGAGTAATAAATTTTGGGTTGGACGGAGGAAGTAATAAATTTTGGGACAACCAAAGAGAAAGTAAGAAGATAATTACGTAGTATTGTTTATTGAAGTCACTTTTCATTGTCAAACACCAAAATTGTCAAAGCTACTTAAATTAAGCAAAAAATGGATTTCTGGCACGCTCTCATAGCTAGCTAGATCATTTAATGCTCTTAAAATGCTTATCGTCAGTGTAGTTTTTTTTAGGTCTAAAAAGAATTTGTTATTCATCCTTGTAATTTATGACATCCTTTTAAGTTCCTGTCTCTCAACCTCCGTAGAGAAAAAATGACTGATCACTAAACTTTCATTTACACCACATTGACACAAGTTTATTCCAGACAAATGCTAAGGTCAACTTTATGCAACTCATTTACACTTTCATTTACGCCACACAGACAATCTAGAAATGAAATATTGAGCACAATTTTAAAATGATGTGCTATACTGAAGTTCTGTGAGTCAGGTTACTCGGGTTCTTTTAATGGTGATAGAGAACGCTAAGAAGAGAAAAGCATAAATTTTCAACAACAAAAAAAGCATTATATTTCTAGGAAAAAAACCTATTTAAGTCAAATTTTAAAATTTAAATACAAGATGCATTTAGCAGTTTATAAAGAAGTATGCTCAGATCAAATGATGGATAAAGAACAAAACCTTGCTGCATCCTCTAGATTAGTGGATTCACGCACCACTAATGGAGCAGGTGTCATCAAGTCACCAACTACTTTCCCATTGGTTTTGCTAAGCAACATTTGTACTTCATTGAATGTCTGCAATATTTAAATGTCAAGTGTAAATCCATTTACCAAAAAGATAGTAACTATTATTTCGTTGGTGAGTTCTTGATAAGTGTGTGTTTTCATACCATTGTAAGTGTGTTAAGTTCTAGGTGATTTAAAAAGGAAAAAATGTAAAAAAGCTTGAATAAATACTTGTGATGGTTTTTCATACTTTCCAACTGCTATCAACTTCTGGGAACATGCCTGCATCTGCTCTTCCAGATGGAGAACAGCTCAAGCCTAGAGGTGAACATGGAATTTCAATCAAGAAAGGGTTTTGACTAACTTGCAGAATAGGCATATGAAATATAAGTATGGCATTAGGAATGCTAGGATGTTTAGGAATTAATAAAACAGACTAACATTATTCTTTCAACTGTGCATACAAGGTAAGATGAAAATTTTACTTCATGACTTCATGGTAAATCGGATAAACTAAGCTAAAGCAATTCAATGCAGCCAGGGATAGGGTTTCAGATGAACTTTTTGTGGTGGTTGTAGCTGGACCTTTTTCCCCTGGGGAGGGGGGTGCTTGTGCTAGAGGGACATTGTACTTTCTAGTGGTATACAATTTTTAACCTTAACACATCATTCAATAAATTTACCTGATACAGAATCCAGTGCCAATAAGTCATAATCAGAAACAACACCCACCTGTAGAAATATATAGAATGCAACAAAATAATCATAATTCGTTCTGATTAAAAATGTGTGGATAATTTTAGGTCTCCTGTTGTACATATACAATAATTCTAAGGTATACTTAACGTGCTCTAGAATGATTAGTCTAAGAATCAGTTCATGTGAATATTAATGAATTTGGTCTTGTATTCATTTGTTTGAATTTTGTAAAGCATCTCTCATAGAAATTGGGATTCATATAGCCAGCAATGACATCCAGATTAATTTTTGGTGTGGGCATTGGCTCGGGTGAATCCGTTAGACTGCCTGAGAGTTTGGGTTTGAAACTTGCCCAAGTCACCCAACCTGAAACATTTGGCACTCTTTTTTAGGTATGCGCATGTAACTGAGGGAATTTGGGGTATTGAGACTTTTTCCTAAGTTGCATGGGGAAGGGGTCGGGAAGCATCAGCTTTTCCAAATTTTTAAAAGACTTTGGGTGTTGGGACATCCACAAGTACCCAAACGGGGACGTTTCGGGGATGGGAAGCGGCACTTGTTTGAAGAATCCCTGCAACATAGACTTTTTCCACCAAAAAGAAAGGGTAATTTTTCAAAGTCAGAGTAATGTAAGAAAACTAAAAGAGGACGAATGTGAACGGACATTAAATAACAGAATTTCAACATTGAAAATTGAACCCAAATCAGTTAATATTATTCCATCTAACTTTCTTCTTTCTATATGTGATTTCCTCTAGCATACTTGTTCCTGTTTTCTTTCTTCAATGTTCAGTGTATATACAGTGCTCCTATTTCTTTGTTTCCATCTTTCAATATCTTCGTAATTTAAAGTGTGCCAATATAAATGTTGTTAGTCGCCACTGCCCGCTAAAAGGAGAGGGAGATAAGGCTTGAGAGTTGAGAATTGATAATTATTGACCCTTTTGTCGTTTCTGTTTACTAAGGAAGATTGGTACTTTGAGCATTGAAACGGAGATTATTAGAATAGGGAGGGCAAATTAGTGTGTTATCTATTTGTACGGGGAGATTTGTCCACTCCATCCTGAGATTTTCATATGGAGTATTTAACATTCTCTCTACTCCATTACTGTTTCTATCATTTGGATATAAGAGAATATGCCATAAAACAGGGTGAATACTGGATCTTCCACCGCGGACAATGATCGCCCTCAGTCTACCGCAAATTCTTTTGTTGCTTTGGTGCAGCAACTATCGACAATTGTTTTCCGACTTTGAACTGTTGACATTCTTGTGGCGGTCTGGCGGATGTGGCAGCTCTCAAGCTGAATGAGGCGGCAACAGTTGACAATGCATGAGAATTTCAACATGGGAAACAAGAAAGGGTTTGTATTCCACAGGGAAATATGCACGAGGGTCTCTCAAGACAGTCCCAATGTATTTCCCTTTATTTGAAGAAAGCGACCAAAGTGGGTCAACTTTAAAGGCAGATAAGAGTTACTTTTGTAACTACCAGGTGGCTGAGAACCGGAAAGTTGGACTTGCTTCCATGTATTTAGAAGGGTATGCACTCCATCTATTTGCTTGGACGAATGGCAATAATACACCATTCTATACTGGAATGAACTCGTGAAAGTCCTACATGAGCATTTTGGTCCGGTGGAATTTTAAAATCCTAATGAGTATCTTTGCAGCATCAAAGAGACGGGCAGTGTCCAAGAATTTGTTCGATGTGACTTGCACGTTCATGAATGGCCAGAGCATTGCCTTTAGGGGGTATTTCTAAATGGTCTGATGGATTAAAAACAACAAACCATGGAAGAGTATTTGACTTCCATTTGAAAACTTACCTTGTGGCGGAATCGAATTCTATTGCAAAAATGATCTTGTTTGGAAAAGACTTTTAGCCATTGTTTGATGGTGAGAAGTTGGTGAGAAAGAAAATGTGAAGTGAGAAAACACCATTCTCAATGTAATTTCTCTTGTTTGTTTACATAAGAAAATGAGAGGAGAGAAGAAGTGGGTGGGTCCAAGTTGAAAAATTTTCCCATCTCATGCTATGAGAAAAGTAGATAAGGGAGAGAAAAAGAATAAAATTACAATTTTGCACATATTTTAATCTCTCATCATCCATTTAAAAAAGGACAAAAATGTCTTTTTCTGTTATCACATTTCTTTCTTCCAACTTTTTTTCACCATTTTCTCATCATCCAAACAACTACTATTTTACTTCCATTTTCTTTTCATTTTCTCACCATTTTCTTTCCTATCATTTTCTTTTCTATTATTTTCTTTCATCTCATTTTCTCATACCATCCAAACAAAGGGTTAATATTCATAATTAAAAAAAGGAAAAAAGAAAGATCAAAGAAGCAGGGCCAGACACAGGAGGTGGGGCGAAGAAGTTGGAGGATAGGTGTACGAGAAATTGAAAGAAGGAGAAAAAAATCACGAGCTACTGTAGTAAATCACAGCACCAGATATCCGATTTGGATTGCCCCATTTTGAAAGAATTCGACTCCCACTGGAATTGCATTCCAACCCCAAAAGCCTTAACAAATAGTGAATGATGGAACTGAATTTCATATCTTTTCTTTCTGAAGGCCGTCAGGCAGTTAGTTTGGCCCTTGATTTTGAATCTAAATGTGGGCCAAGTAATGGCCAAAAGGAGTTGTTTGCAACACAAAAGAAATGTTCTATCCTCCACTTGCTTTGTAGATGCACGGCCAGTAACCTCATCAGCATGGACCTCCCATTGCTGGACCTGCCGTGGCTGCCCCATCGGTGTAGGCTAAAGGCTCAGGTGTCAGTGCAACGAAAAGTTCACATCAGGGCTCAGGCAACCGGAAATGATACCGAAACAGAAAAGGGAGATGGCCAAGGTCACTTTCCGTGCTGTTGTTGAGGAAATTCCAGGGAATCCAGGGTATGCAATGAACCTCAAGGGAACCATTAGCAATAGAAACCATTATATAATTCTAGCAACACTAGTGGAAGAATTAGGTCACGCTGTAGGTGTGGGGGTCCCCCTTTTGGGCTACAAATGGGAATGGAGAAGCAATTAGATGCAACTAGGTTTGCCAAAATGTTTCTGTGCAGTTGCCCCAGCTGATGACTACCCAAGACTCCAAGA